AAGAGAGAGAGAGAGAGAGAGAGAGAGAGAGAGAGAGAGAGAGAGAGAGAGAGAGAGAGAGAGAGATTTTTAATTTTATAACTGTATGACTTCTAGTTGTATTGCCGATGTAATGCTTTGTCGTTGAATAAAACGATAGGAGACAGGCTATTGTTGTCATATAATAATGTCTAAGAATATTTTGTCCTGACCTGCTGTGCCTCTGTCTCTTCCAGACTGACCTCATGTACAGAGTGTACAGAACGTACAATGCCTTTTTAGAAGGCTTGCAACTCAAAAACTATACCATGGCAGAGTAGGCTATATACGCCAACCTCTGGAGGTAACACGAAATAGCGTTTATCATTATCTTTAAAGCATCCAGAGTGCTATTTTATAATCTCCGATTTGCTTCGTTGCAAGACTGTTTCTATTGATCCATGCATTCCAGTACATTTTCTTGGTTCTCAAGGTGAACAGTAGTGTGGCAATTTGTCTACAAGAAGTTATTTGTATTACACTTACACACTCAAAATTATAAACTTCCTGCTAGTTTCTATGAACAACTTTTTAAGAACAACTATTTACTACGTTCCCCATTGCTGATTTGTTGAAACTCCCTATTCTGTAAAATTGACTGTTTTATCATTTTGCTCGGTTTCTTTTAAACTCAAATGTTCTAGTAAACTAAAAGCTTGTCATGGTCTTTCCCTGTTCCAGCACATCCAAGAGCTTTCCTCTGTCTTGAGCAACATCATCTTCCCCGAGCTCCCTCAGTCGCCAGATTTTGCCCCTCAGTAGCAAGGATCAAGGATTCAACTTACAAGTGTCCGGACTGAAACAGTTTTGCGCCTCCACCCCCCCCCCCCTTTCCTTTTTGCATTTTGTAACAATGTTGGCAATCATCCACGATATGTCTGCTGTAACGTATTTTGACAATAGAAAATAATGTTGAAACATTCGCTGATTGCGTTAAATGATACATGTTATTGACAAATTGTGAAGCTTTTCTCTCTTTGTATGTTTTTCCTCAACTCAGACAGCCCTTGTTCCTCCGTTGCTCTTTTGCATCTCACAGGCACTGGTCCACACGTATCAAACAGCCTGTGATATGGTCAAGTGTGGAAAAGTCCATACACGTTATCTCAAGATAAATGAGATGTCTAAGAAATAGTATAGACGTCAATAACATACTTGCATCGGTTTTGAAAATCACGTCTACCATGTAGGACATAGAAGAAAAGTCCCTTGAAAAAAATATGCCGTGAAAAAATCTAGTGAGTAAGAAAAAGGAACCCAAAACGAACATACAAGAAGTTACGAGTCACTCGTTGAGAGAAATATACAACTACATTGTGTAATGCTGGCACACTTTCGAAAAAAAAAAAGATATCAAAGCCGTGCTCTATAAGAGATGAGCACTTTTTAAGGATATCGGTACAATTTACTTGATAATAATAGTAATGGTATCCTTCAATGGCTAATATTTCCCTTAAAAAATACGAACATGTAATATTTCCATATAATTACGTGTATCACAAAAACTATTTTCCAAGTGAGTCAATTGACACAACTGAGTAAAGTGTGCTCGTACCATTTGGAAATAAAACTGCTTTTCAATACTGCTACAAGTTAAATCTATGTCTAACGTTGAAATTGCTAAAGGAATTTGTGTCTATGTACTTCTCTTTGCTCAAACAAACAAACATGATGCAATATGTATCATATGTGTGTCCCGCCATGGTTATTGATGCACCAACCAGTCTCTACCCTCGATTAAGAAGTTCTATCTGTTCAGTACCTAGTTTTGAGAAATTTGTTGAGTTTCACAGCATGCCAAGCCTTTTCGAATGCAATTAATTGAATATCTTGATAAAGACTTCGGATAGAATCTAATCTTACGATATTGAAAGGGCAAATAGAACATAATATTATGGTTTTCTGATCTTACGGTCTAAATAATTCAAAACAGCCAAAAATATCAGACAGAACGTTTTAATTTAAAGGTAGTCCAGTAGGTAGTGGTTTGATGGAGGTTAATTTATCGTAAGGTACGCATCGTCAAGTTTTCTCTTCTTGTCCTGCGGAGTATTAAAATTTGATCTCAGTAAACAAGTAAGGCGATTCTGAGATCGTCACAAATATTACACGTAATACCAGATGCACATTTTCATTTTTTCCCCCATTTATTCAAGCCTGTTGGACCAGACTATAAAAAATAGAGAAATTATACACTTCTTGGTAACAGTGGTACTAATACCTGCTTTTTCCTCAACATCCTATCAGAATGGGCTCGGACTTAACCCCCCCCCCCTTTCAACGCCTTGACGTTCGTAACTTGAACAATGTCCCTCACAAAAAAGTGTTACTGCAAGAATAAATTGCTCATAAAAAATTTCCACCCCTACAACGTGGCATTGGATTTGGAATTGGAAAAAAAATAGCATGAGCCCGGGGTGCAGATTACCACGAAGAAATATAACAACAGCAATAATACCAACAGTAACAATCCACAAAGTCACGGAGTCACAGAGAAACCAGGTATCAGTTACTATCGTCACTGCTGTCTGAACTATGGAAAATGTCCGTGGTGACCATTTCTGAGCGTTTTCTGGTAGACCCCAATCTTGAACGTTTTCGGGGAGGGATGTTCGAGTCTTCCGACTGTGAGTCTTCTCTTGGCTCACGATATTGATATTCGGTCTCGTATTCGGAACTGGAAACCTCCTCTGACTCTGTTTCTTCCTCCTCTTCTGCTTCTTCGAGTTCCTCGTCGACATCGCTGGAGGAAACGTGCGATGTTTGGCTCTCCAGTAAAGCCAGCTGTGAAGCTGTGCTGGCGACCGCGAAACGTTTCTGGAGAAAGAGAGGGAAAGAGAGACATAGTGCTCAGACACAGTGGCCGCAGCTGCAGCGATGCACTTTAAAATTACTCGCCGCGTCTGTTCCGACTTCTTTTCTAGCAAACACAGTGACTGCGTCTTTCGGTTCAGTCAATTCATTAGGCCACGAGTCAGTCAATGAGGATGGCTAAAGAGGTTCTTCAATTGTTGATGCTTTCATGGCTCCATAACAGACGATCCCGAAGTAGATATTAGGTACATAGAATCAATAAAAAGAGAGACACGTATGGTGAATACCATCACCTGATGGCAGTAATCCTTTCAGACGAAGAAAAATGCCAGAAATACATCCGGATGAGACCCTCCACATTTCAGCTCTTGTTGGACAAAATTGGACCTTACATAGAGAAGCGAACTACCAATTTCCGAAACCCCTGTCAGCAAAAGAGCGTTTGAATTTGGAAAAAGACTACTTGCTGACAAGCTGGATTTACCACAGGATACAGACAGTGACACAACCCTCCCATTTGCATCCGTAGCAGATGATGCATTTCCATTGAGAAGAAATTTGATGAAGCCATTTCCAAACAGACAATTAACTCATGAGAAAGAGCTTTTCAATTATCGTCTATCACTTGCATGGAATTCAGTTGAATGCTCTTTTGGTAGGATTTTGCAAATGTGGCGTATACTCCTGCGCCAAATGGATGAACAGCCAGAGTCGGCAACAGATGCAGTCAAGGCCTTCACAGTGCTCCACAATTTCATTATCATGCAAGAACCTGGAAGATCGGTGCTACGGTACATTGAGGATGACGTGGTTGAGCCACGGACAGGTCTACCAACGTTCAACAGACTAGAAGTTATAAGGGGCAGAGCTACCAAAAGTGGAATGGAAGTGAGAAATGCCTTCATGGGATATTTCTCGTCACCGCAGGGTGCATTGCCATAGCAAAACAACAAATGCTATAACGTCTGATCAGTCCACACTCTCATTTAAAAAGGGTTATCATTGCATCTCTTTTAATAAGCTAAAGTAGGCCTATAGTTTGAAACAAGTATACGTGTTGTACAGTGTACATATGTTCAGACAAACAGACGGATAGACAGACAGACAGACAGAAAGAAAGAAAGAAAGAAAGTTTTTTACCATTGCATCCAACTTCGTTGGCTATTTTCTTCCTTTCGGCCGATATCATGGCTCTGTTGCAGTAGTTTTGATCTGCTTTGTCATAAACACATCTTCTTTTTTCAACTGGGTGTATTAATGCCTCCGACTCCATTGTAGTCAAAATGCGTCAATTCACGATGACTACACCCTACACGCACTACACTATCACGCCACAACAGTTTAGCCGAGCAGCAGACGCTCGAAATTTTATTTCAGCAAGTGCACGCGGAGAACCTTTTCTGCTCCGTCCAGCGCTGCGTCTGCTCCGCGCCCACTGTAGCGCCGTGCATTCAATCCTTCGTTAATAAAATTTGGCGATGCAACTTTTTCGGAGAAAGAACACACACACACACACACACACACACACACACACACACACACACACACACACACACACACACACACACACACACACACACACACACACACACACACACACAAGCACACATACACACATACAGAGTGAGAACGAGATTTAACGTCAAGCACGTGGGTTCTATCCAAGTTCTCATAGATTGATTGCCATATATTCGACAAAGCAAAAAATAAAAATGGAACTGAAAGGGGGATTGCGGTCATGTTAACTGAATGGATGCAATTTAAAAAAAAGATAGTAAGATCGCCTTTCACAGATTAAAAAAATAGTTGATAGTTTTATTATTATAGATATGGCCACCCCCCCCCCCCCCCAGCTAATTACAGGACAGTCCTCGCACTGCTACTTCATGTAGATCTATTATTAGTGTTAAAAACGTACCCCTGACCTCAAATGGGCTTTGTTACTACATGCTCAAAATGGAGAGGGAGCGAGAAGTTGTTTGGCTCTCAGATGTTGTCTGCTCAAAGGAGGCTACTTCTCCTCGGTGTTGATGGTTTAAAAAAAACCCTGATCCGTGACAAATGGATACTTATACTACATTTTCAGGATAGTCACGGCTACCTGGAAAGCTTCCATCACTTGGCTCGGCCGTCGCTCATCTCTCTTCTCCACCGCCTTTTGTTTGCGGGCTTTGAGGTTTGCCACGCGGACCGCTTTATCCTGAGGGAGAGTACGACAACGTGGTTACTTTTCTTTGAATGAGCTGAAGTTCAGCTTACCACACTCATTAGAATGTTTAGTATTAAAACAGGGTAAAGAATTACGCATATGTATATTATTCAGGAGTTTATGTTTGAAAAAGAGTCCGACGAGAACATGTACATTGTATATCCAGTACAGCCGTAGCATTCGACTTTATTTATGCAACTGCAAGTCTTATCTTTAAAAAAAAATCTACTGTGTAAATCTTTTACGTCTTGATATATTATTCTTCGGGGTTCAGACCTGTTCGTCTTCGCTGGAGTCTGTCTCAACACTTTCATCGTCTGCATCGCCATAGTCCACCTGAGGTTACAGAAGACAAGGGACGATTAAGGGGTGAGGTTGTAGACGAAACCTTTTCAGGTGCACGACTGCGGATACCAAGACATTAAAATTCAAAGACTGAACGAAACAAGCATAAACGTCTGACAAATTGCTGCGGGTTTTTTTAATGACTCGTAGCGGTGCACAGCCGCGATGGTGATAACAATAACAACGGTTGTGAAAAGAGCGCGAATTAAATGAATTTGTAATTTTGTTTTAGACGTTTATAGTAAAAGAGGTTCGAAATACTAGGTGGGTTGGCAAGAGGAAGAGATATCGGTATAGGAGACATATTTAAGTGTCTATGTATACACGAATACGCATGTAATATTTATGCACTTGTATATTCTGACGAGAATACGAAGTAAAATTCTCCCAGAAATAGCCCAAGAACAGTGTGGTTGTATTGAACGCAAAGAAACAGTAAATGCCATATATGTCTTCAGAACAACAATAGAACGTGCCCTGGAAGTTCAGAAAAATCTTCATTTATGCTTTATAGACTACACCAAGGAATCCGACAAAGTTAAGCTCGACAAGATAATCTACCTGTTAGAAGTCCTCAAGAATGACGGAAAGGACTTAAGGATTATCAAGAACATGTACTGGGATCAAACCGCTGCACTAAGAATATAAAACGACATCAGCGAATACATATAGACTAGATCTACTTAAAAGAGGAGTCAAACAAGGATGTGTTCTTTCACCAGACTTGTTCTCCCAGTATAGTGAAAATATAATGAGACACATTGAAAAAATGCCACCCATCGCGATATGGGGGGGGGGCATAACGTAAACAATCTAAGATATGCAGACGACACAGTCGTGATGAAGAACACCTACAGGATCTATTAAACTCATCGAACAAGAGAGTGACAGCATGGGCCAAAGCCTTAAAAAAACACCGAAACAAGGGTGATAAGCAGAAAAACTCCCCCCAAACTGCAATATCAAAAATCAATAGTACCACCCCCAAGCAAGTACAACATTTTGAATATTAAACTTTGGGGACCATTATATTATCAGATGGGAGATGTCCCACCGAAATTAAAACCGCATTTGCCCAGCAATAGCATGGACAATCAATAGACAGCTGGAAAGAACAATAGAGCCGACAGAGCATAAGAGTAAGACGCATGCTGCGTACCCCATGGGCAGCTAGAAAACCAAATGAAGAAGTCTTGGTTGAAGCAAATTGCAGACGACAGCTTATGAAGAATATACGAAAGCGACAGGCAAATTTCATTGGACACACAATGCGGAAAGAAGCATTGGAGAATACTGTAACAACAGGCAAGTTTGACGGAGAGAGAGGCAGAGGCAGACAGATGGAAAAGATATTGGATAAGTTGACAATATGACTGGGAACAGCAGGAACAACAGACACCATCGCTGAGAGCAACGCAAGACAAAGTGAGGTGGAGGTCCATGATCGCCCACGCCAGTCGGCAAGGCACCGGATGATGATGATATTACTAGTTGCCAACAGGCCTTTAGTTCAACCCCACCAGAATTATAGTTTATAAATTATAGTTATAGATGATAAACCTGAGGTAGCTGGCAAGGTCTACACGTATAACTTTTCTTTTTCCTTAGATGACGTTCATAGTGTGTGTAGCATTATTATTATTATTATTA